GATAAAGTGCCATTAGCTTTTCTGATGACTTCGTCACACTGCCGACTCATGTCCATCTTGGAGTCCACTCCCTTTCCACTTCCGTGCCACCAACCAGGTCATTTCCTAGGCAGTAGGTATGCTGGACATTTTTCCTCCCTAGGTGCAGCACTTTGCATTTCTCCTTGTTAAATTGCATTCTGTAGTTTTCTGCCCATATGTCCAACCTGTCCAGGTCTGCTTGCAGCTGTTCCCTGCCCTCCGGCATGTCCACTTCTCCCCACAGTTTTGTGTCATCCACAAACTTGGACAGAGTACACTTCACTCCCTCGTCCAAGTCGCTGATGAAGACATTGAAGAGTATCAGTTCAAGCACCGAGCCCTGCGGGACCCCACTGCCCACACCCTTCCAGGTTGATACCGACCCATCCACTACGACTCTCTGGGTGCGACCCTCTAGCCAATTCGCCACCCACCGGACTGTGCAGTCATCCAAGTCACAGCCTCTTAACTTGTTCACCAGTATGGTGTGGGATACCATATTGAAGGCCCTCCTGAAGTCTAAGTAAATGACGTCAACCCCTATGGCTGTGCACGTGCACACCTTAGAGGGAACCTTGCCCACCAGGTTTCTGTTAGACCAACCAGGTCAAGATCTTTATCTGCAAGCAGGAGTGCAAGTTCCTCCTGCTTGTTTCCCATACTTCCAGCATTAATAGAGACACCTAATCCCCCCGATCAGTGCCCTTATTGTACTCCCTGCATCAGACATCAGGGAGGAATTATAGAAATGGAAAAAAGATTCAGTACAGGAAGATGCTATGCTGATTGTTAACATTGCCAAATCTGTAAATCTGTCATAAAGAAATTATATGAAGGTTAAGGCATGGGTCTTTTCTCTTCCCTGGTTTCACGCAGTCTGTCAATGTGGCTACTGAGGTTAGTACAAGTAGAGCTGTCATAGAAAAATGGAAACAGAGAGCTATTTGGGTTTTTGCCTGGGGGTGGTGATTAAGGTCCTATGGACTGGAGATGATACTGAAAATCAAGAAACAGAGTTTCTATTTCTGGATTTTTTTTTTAAACATAATTATCAGAGAGACTTCAGCATTATAAAATTATCTTAAAATGGCACAATACAGAGGGCATTTAAAGCCAAATCCAGAAGTGAATAGTCTAATTCTAGTGTAACTCTTGCTCTGAAGGTTCATAAAAATGTAATATGGAAATGTAATATAAAGGAAACCAATAGGACGTTGACATAATATTAAAGAAAGCCATCTCTTGTTTTAACTAAGACTTTCCTTTACCACCTTCTAATTCTTCACTGTAAATTGCACTAAATTGACTTTTTTTTTTACCTACAAGGTGAAAATAGCTTTCAGAGAGACAAACTACGGCAAGTGCTTCTGGTTGGTATCTATTTTCATAAGTCTTAAACACATGTAAAAAAACCCCCCTGATTCTCCACTTGTGGCTTTGTTTCCTATCCATCTCACTCAGCCTCTTTTAACCCCTAGTAAATGCAAAAATCACTCGATACAGCAGCAAGTAGGCCCAGAGATGTTAGGGAAACCAAAATTCTGTTCTGATGAGATGAAGATGTAAATGGAAAGGATGCATGAATACATATATACAGCTATGTAACAGTCCTTATATAGTACATACATATATAAACAAAGTATAAGTAGTAGAGCAGGCACCTGCCTTTAAGGTTACATGCACATGCATAATTCATGATCGTGTGACTTATTTTAAGCCATGTGATCATAGATTAGGTCTTGCTTGTACAGATATTCACCAGCACTGGGAGCCATGGCAGGACCTTGCTCTTCTAAGTCAAGGTGGAGGGAAAAGGTGGGTGAGATTGATGGGGGACTGGTGAGTGCACATGGGGAGTTGGTGGATCTACATGGTCGGGTTGTCTGTCCAGGGCTTGGTGAGTCAGAGAGCTAAAAATATCTTAGTCAGGGTGGTGGGGAATAGGAAAAGTGGCAAGTGGCTGTGATTTCCCAGCCCTGGAGCTTCAGTCAGAACATATACACATATTAGGTTAGATTGGACATGAGTTAGGCCAATCCATGTAGTGCACCTCCTTAGGTGAACTAAGTTACATCAGGCCGGCCACTTTTTGTCCAGTCTAAACTCTCCAAAGTTCATCAGGTCTGACCCCCTGCTCCAG